GGGTCTTCCTGTGGCAAATTAAACTCATTTCTTGTTCTGTATTTGGGAGACATATTGTAAGGAGCGCACAGAACCGGGAGACCTGTTTTCGGGTCTAGACTCTGCCACTTTCCTGGCTGTGTGACCTGGAGCAGGTCCCTTCCCAGCTCTGAGCAGTTCTCTCACCTGCACAGGGAACAGTCAGCACAAGACCAGTAGTTCCCCAAACTGACGATGCCTTAGAATCCCCTCAGGCATTTGTTTTCATACAGATTTCTCATCCCCACTCCTGAAGAAACTAATTTAATACATTTAGTCGCTTGCTGACAAGTATACCAACGAAGTGGAGGTAGCAGTACCTGTGAGAACCACAAACTTAGGACCTCCAAGGTCCACTCCACCCCACATACTCTGATCTTCTAATGGAAGACAGAGACAGTTTTATTGCTGTGCTCCCAAAAAGTTCCTGGCACACAGGAGATATTCAGAAAACATTTGTATCTGAGTAAACGGTAAAACGGTAAACAGAAACTCTCTGCAACTTTTCTGTAAATCTAAAATTATTCCAAAATAAAAAGTTTACGTAAAACAATACTGGAAACAAGGAAGGAGAGAAAAAGGAGGAGGGGGGAAGGGGGGATTTTGTCCACACCACGTTAGCTCGTATGTCTCTCACTGTATGTTGAAAAGCACCTCCCACCATCTTTGTCCTCCGCACACACACCTCACCTCCGCTCCTACTCCATGATCATTCTGCGATCATCAATCTGTCAGAGGAGACCTGCAGGGCCACCATGCTGTAATGGCTACAAAAGGGATTGTGGCCTGCTTGGCGCTGTAAAGACCTGAGCGCTCCTCAGCATCCACACTTAATTTCACTGAGCCTCAGTTTCCTCAGCTATAAAACAGAGCTCCTCTCTCACTTCAGGATCTTGCAAAATTATTGTAAGAATCAAATGAAAGAATAAGAGTTGCCATAAGTGTGAGCACTGCGTTCCAGGTTCCATGCTAAATACTTTATGAGCATTCTCTTCATTAATTTTCACAACAACCTTGTTAAGGTAGGATGATAATGTCCCTATTTTATGGATAAAGAAACTCAGGCTTCCAGGGAACTTGATCAGAGTCATAGAGCCAGGGAAGGGAGGGCTGGTAGATGAGCCCAGGACATCTGACTCCAAAGACCCCATGAATTCCTCTGCCTTATGATTTTTATACATCAACTATTAAAGAAATGTACATCTTTGTTTCGATTATTTCCATCCCATTCTTCCCTCTACCCTTAATCTCCCTCTTTCTCCAGTTCCCCAAACTGACCCAGACTAGTCCCTAGAAGTTCCCAAATGAGAGCTGTAGAAGAATTGGTAGATCAGCAGCCCTGAGGATGGGGCTGGGAATCCCCACCACTCCCACTGCTGCCACAGGGATTCAATGGAGAGACAGGCATCCAGGAAAAGAAAGGATTTGCCTCTCGGAGAACCCAAGGGACTAAATCAGGCTCACCTTCCCTTCTTCGCCTCACCCAGGAGAGCACTGGCAAGGCCACCACCTTAGAAAACTCCTCTTTGGCAAAAGAGACTTTAGATCATTAGCTTGCGCTGTTTTCCTGGCTGCAATCAAACAAGTAGGTTCTAAATATCTGAATTGTTTTTTTTAAACAGCTGGCCACACCCATTCATCCGTGCCAGGCCCCTGCTGAGGCTGAGTGCAGCCTTGATGTGGCCAGAGAACCCGGGAGGCTGGGCAGCAGGCTGTGCTGGGTGTACCCAATTGCTGCCCAGCTGGGCCTGGTGGGGAGGCTTTTGGTGGTGTTGCTAGGCAACCTGGGTACTTGGAGAAGCCACAGATTGGGCTTCTGGGGCACAAAGATTAACAGCCTCCTTCATCACACTGTAAACCATCATTATGCCCAGTTCCAGAGGCCTGCAGCAATCTCTGTGGTTATAGCCTGAAAGAGTGCTTTTTTAGCTACAGAAATTAAGAACCAGCTTTTCAATATTATGGGTTTGTGGCTGTGGTTGTTTCTTTTTACTACATCTCTGAGGATACACTTGGAATAAATAGGCAAAAAATCTAAAAACAAAAAATGCCTTTACAAACCCTCTTTTCCAAAAGTTTTCCTTCTTCCTGAAGCAAAACACACTTACCCTCAATTGTGAGGGCAACTCAGGTAGGGACACTGTGCTTCCTGAGGTGTCTGCATGCCCACTTCGCATTCAAATCTTCTTCCTTGGAACCCCACAACTGTAGCTGGAGTTCCGGGTTGGGGGACCAGGGCCTTGGTCTTGTGCAAGGCCACTCAGCACAATAATTTCTTTGTGTCTCTCCCCTTCTAAGACAATCACCATAATTCCCCTTCCCGGTCCACAGAACCACTCTCACTTAGATCGTTTCAATAGACCCTCAGCTGTGAAGACAGAGTCATTATTATTCTCATTCTTCAGATGAACAACTAAGGGTAAAGAAGGCACCCATCATCACATGCCTAGCCACAGCGAAACTGGGGTGCCAACCCATTTTTCTGAGGCCAGATCCTAGGCTCTCTACTACACCACACTGCCTCCCCACAGAACTACTTGAAATATAACATATAGTTTAGTACCCTATTATAATATGAGACACAGTAATAATAATACACACTGGTTGGTGTAGAGACACAAGAGCTTCATCCTGTTTCTCTCTGTCCTCAACACATCACCCTTGTTGATTGTGGTCAGGCTTTCAAAGCTGCGTCATGTACACTGAAGAATACAGTCTAGGAGAATTTCCAGGGCCGGCCGAGTGGCGCGTTGGTTAAGAGCTGGCTTGGGACGCCAGAGGGCCCCAGTTCAGATCCCACATATGAGGGCCAGTGACACTGCCCTCCACAGCTAAGATGCTGAACAACAGCTCAACCTGGAGCTGGGCTGCCGTGAGTCGCCGGTGACGGCGTAGGCTGCAGCCCCTGTGGCAGTGGGTTGCCATGGGCTACCATGTGTAGCCAGCAGCCAGCGTGAGCGGCCAGCAGCCGCTGTGAGCAGCCGTCCAGAAGCCGGTGACTGATCTGCCTCGCCCGGGAAGAGCGCAATGATGGTGCCAACATGGGCCAGTGAAGCAACGTCCTCCACAACTAGACTGAAGAACAAAAGGACAGCAACTTGTCTGTTCCCCTACCCTGATTCCCCAATGCTGTTCCCTCCCCCAATTCCCCAATAAAATCTTTAAAAAAAAAAAAAGAATTTCCAACGGTGGACACACTATTTAACTAGGTTAAGACACCTAGGACACCATAGCATGGGGCTGAAGGAAAATCCTGACCCTGAGCCATCCTCCATCATTCAAGGAGTTGACTCTGTTTTGACAGCATTATGACGCTACATCAGTCCCTTTAAGTAAGGAGGCAGAATAATTGCTTTCATGAAGAATGTGTAGGTATTTTTCAAAAAGACTTTCACTGCTTCATCTACAATGTTTCTTAAATACTAGTCCATTGATAGTGACCAACTGTGCCAGTTTGCATGGGACAAGGGATTTCTTGGGATGGGAGACTTGGGGTGCTAACATCAGGACAGCCCTGGGCACATTGAGAGGATAATTAGTCAATCTATCGTAGACCACCTACATCAGAATCATCTGGGAACATCCTCAGGTGAAGACAGCTGGTTCTAATCTTAGGGCAGTGGTTCTTAACCCTGGCTACACATGAGAATTGTCTGAGGAGAGTGTAAAAAAGCATTGATGTCTGAGCTCACCCCAGATCAATGGAATTAGAGCCTCCGGAGCTAAGGCCTGAGTACTGGTATTTTTTGATGTGCAGGCAAGACTAAAAACTCCTACCCTGGAGATTTGGATTCACAGGGTCCAGTCTGGAGCCTTGCCCGGGAATCTGCTGTATTTTTATCAGCTCCCCAGGGAATTCTTACGTACATCACAGTTTGATAACCAATGAATTCTTACTCGATGTGTGCATTCATTGGACAGGCATTCCCTGAATGCCTCATATTATGTTAAGCTCTGGGAACACAGAGAAAAAAACATAAAAACAACCACCTCCTGTTTCCCAGGTCCTCCCTACCCAGTAAGGAATAAAGACCTACAAATTGTGCCAACACAGTATACTGTGATTTAGATTTAAAAGTGGGTCAGCATCATCAGAGTGGTTATGGCTATTCAGTTCCCAGAAGCCTAGTGTGGTAGATGAAAGACAAGCATATTATCTGCCATTCCTCCCGCTAAGACGTAGGGTTTGTTCCTCCTCTCTTTGCATCGAGGGCAGCCCTGTGACTGGTTTTGACCAATGGTACACGGCAGAACTAGTGCTGGGCACCTCCCAAGGCCAGGCCTTGAGAGATCTGCAGCCCCCACTTTTGTTCCTCTTGGAATGCTCCTCCCTTTGTGAAGCCTAACACCACATAAGAAGGTTGACTACCCTGAGGTGGCCATGCTATGAGGAAGCCCAAGCCACTCCCATGGAGAGAGAGACCATGTAGAAGAGCAACAGGCTGCCAGACCTATGAGTGAAACCTTCTTGGGCCTTCCAGCCCAGCCCATCCACCAACTGAATACAGATGTTCCTTGACTTACGATAGGGTTACATCCTAAAAAACTCATTTTAAGTTGAAAATATTGTAAGTTGAAAATGCGTTTAATACACTTAACCTACCGAACATCACAGCTTAGCCTAGCCTCCCTTAAATGTGCTCACAACACTTACATTAGCCTACAGTTGGGCAAAATCATCTCACTTGCCACTGCCCAGGATCACGAGAGAACATTGTACTGCCTATGACTAGCCCAGGAAAAGATCAAACTTCGAAGTACAGTTTCTACTGAATGCATATCGCTTTCACACCATCATAAAGTAAAAAAATTGTTAAGTCAAACCATTGTTAAGTCAGGGACCATCCGTATAGCCAAGCGATTGACCCCAGCTGACACCTGAGCAGAAAAACTGAAAAGAATCATGACAAAATAAAATGGTGGTTGTTTTAAGTTACTACGTTTTGCGGGGGCTTGTTATATAGCAATCGCTACCCACACACCTCATCAGAACTAGAAGACAGAATGACATCCCAGCATTTTGCCTTCCCATGAACACTTCATCTTCATATCTCTCCATAGAGTAGATGCAGATGTCTCACGTGAAATAGCCTCCCAATTAGTCTCCATCTGTTTCCACTCCTGCCCCTTCCAAAACAAAACAAAACACAATCGTAAATCAGAATATAACAACTCTCTGGTTAAAATCCTTCAATGGCTTCCCATTATCTTCGAGATAAATACAGGCTCCTTACCATGGCTGATCAGGTCCTGCAGGACCTAGCTCCTGCTTCTTTGTGGAATTCTACCACTCTCCCTCAACATCTCTGTGCTGCAAATGCAGGGCCTTCTTTCTGTCCCAGGAACACACCACGCTCTCTCCTGCCTCAGGGTCTCCGCACTTGCTGTTCCCTCTACCTAACCCTTTCTCCTTCATCCCTCACACACACACCCCAGTACATACACACAAGGTTAACTGCTTCAGAACAAATAGCACCTCCTTGGAAGTCTTCCCTAACAAACCATCAAGTATATGAAGAAGGAAGGAGGAAGGAAGTATGGAGTAAAACAGAAAGAGCACTGAAATTACAGCAGTCAGAAAATGCTGGTTGTTGCCCCAGTTCTGCCCCCGCTTACCTATGGACAAGCCACTTCACCTCACCTGCTCAGAATCCTTGTCCCCACCATGATGCACATGACCCAATGTGTTTATGTATGCCATATACCAGAAGTCTTCACATTTTTTTCTCAAGTTCCCATAAGAATTTTTAAAAAGCTGTGACCCTCTGGCACATTTTTAAGGTAATAACTAAAGTTATTTTTATCAAGTTAAAGTAGGTTCCAAGGCAGAATTTTCTGGCACAGTCTTTATTAGAGACATGCTTTAGATATGTTTTCATTCAAACCTTGGAGCTACAGATGTAACTTGTTCAGTTTATGGAAATTGTCTACGTAAGAAATGTCCAAACCTACAGAGAATTTTTATGAGTTATTTGAGCCCAACTGACGACAATTGACAGGAAGCAAAATCTCAATGGATCAAGAAAATGCTCCAGAGAATGTCAGTTTTGTAGCTTATTTTATACATTAGAATCAAAGGAGGAGACCTAAGAAGGGATACATGAAATCCATTGGTGGTAGATTAAGGGGGCGGGAGAAAGCAAAGTGGGGAGATCTCTGGGATTGGATAAAAAGCAAAACAGAGAGATGCATACTTCATTTACATTGGTGGGTACAGGATAGTTAATAATTAACATTTATAGCACACATAGAAATGGTATTCTGGGAACAAGATAACAATGAGAGGTTCTGTGGTCTCAGGCTCTGGTGTGGTGGGCTGTGCCCTAAGGGGTCTGGAAAAGGAGATGACTCTGACATTTCAAAGGTATGTTATCTTAGATGCCAAAAGACTATAGACAGACTCACTTCAAGTAAAAATTTACCTTTGTCAAGGAAGCTACAGGCCTAGGATGTGACTCCCCGCCATGACCCATTTTAGTTAAGAATTTTTATGTTTAGACCATCCTATGTGGTTACTTTCTGTCTCTGAGTTTGTAGAGCCTGCCATGCTGGCTTCCCCTGAGCAGGTCAGATTTAGTATGTGGCTGCTTTTTCATCCACAAAATCATCTACCATATAATTCAATTGTCAAAGCCAGTCCTCACTGTTAGACCAATCAGCCAAACCAGAATATTTCTGTCTGTAAGAAAATCCACCTTCGTTTCTAAAAATGTCTATAAATGAATTCATTTTCATCCCCATGACAACTGGCTGAAGTCCCAATTCTAATTTTACAATACATAGATAAAGAGCTAAAGCACTTATGTTTAAAGTAGAGTAAGTAGCATAATGGTTAAGAGTACACATTATAGAGGAAAGGTACAAGAGATCAAATCCTGATTTGCCACTTAATAGCTGTGACCTTGGACAACTTAAATAAATCTCTGGGTACCTTGGGAACCTCATGTGTAAAAAGTGGATAAGTATCTGCTTTATAGACCATGAGTATAGATATGAGTATTAAACAAGTTTATTAATCTGTAAAGCCCTTTGAACAGTGTGAGGCACATAATTAGCATTAAACAAGTATGTTTTTTAAAAAAAATAAAT